ATTGTCATGGCACAAATAACATTTGAATGGTTCATTACCGAAAATGCTAAGTGTGCCTGTTTTCTATTTTATAGTAGGTAGTTTCCTTCTCAATACCTCCAACCGGAAAAGCTTCTAGAAGTTGAAAATCGAAGCATTATTTCGAAAACTCATCGTGTAYACAAAAAAATAAATACATATACTATATAAAAACACACATCACTGTAAAATCAAGACATTCATCGCTCCGCTCAGAATCTAAAATACAATATTTACGTACCTATAAATGAATAATATTATAGAATTTTTAAATCCATACTTAAACTAACATASTAATTATCAGGGTCGTAATGGATGATCGATAGAGGACGTAAACCATTAACCTATATTACCTAGGTAGTTAATAGATACGATCCCTTGAAGTGGTAAAGCACGATTGAGCATATAACTTTTTAGCAACACGGTTGAGCATAGAATATTTTATGCGACGTTGCTGAAATTGTATAGTTTATTATTTTCACGTTTTATTATTATTATTTTAATAATAATTTCGAGGTTATCACAATATATTTTTTAAATTATTATAAAAACTTTGATATTAATTTCTGTTGTTTTATTTAATTTTGTAGAACAACCACAACCAWTRYAGYCGGAAGCTTTCATCGTACGTATAATGCGCAGTTATATTCACCTCATCCTCATGTTTATGCGTTAAGGTATTGCTCGAAACACAGGCAGAAACGTTGACTAGGATTAATTCAATTCAAACTAAGCCTATCAATAATTACAATCTGCTAAAGAAATGAAAAAAAATAGAATTTAATATAAAAGCTTTTGACCAGTATTTAAATTGTAAGAATATTATGAAACTTGATGGTATAAGAACGTTATCTGTGTTTTGTTGGAAGTATTTTTAAGATGGTTCAATTTTTAAGTGAGTTATGAGCATTTTTATTTTACAATTTATTAATTATTATACGCGCATAACTCACTTAAAAACTGTATTAACGTAAAAATATTTCCAAMAAATACAGATAATGTTCTTACCATCAAGTTTCATAATAGGTTTATTCACTCTAATTATTGTTAAGCTGACGGAGTAAAACGTGAACTGCTGAGCGTGAATTTGCTATGTTATACRCGTTAAGACTGAGACAACTAATATGGGTGCTGCGCCCTCTTAATATATTTAAATCAACTTAGAAATAAATACCAAGGTATATCAATTTAATTTATTATTATCAATTTAAATTTGACGATTACTTTATTTTATTATTATTTTTTTGACATGTTATATTTAGAATTATTATAATTATTGTTTAAATACATTTTTTGTATGATAAAGTTCAAAATAGAAAATGGCAACGTTGCACAGGTTTTATGTTCAATCATGTTGATTTTATTTCTTATTTCGATTTCCTTAGATACGCCGAAAAATTTGACCAATCGTGTCGCAAAAGAAGGTGTTTTATGCTCAATCATGTATCAGCCCCTTGAAGAACGACAAACTCCTTTTTAAGTGTATGCAAATAATAAAGCATATACTTACCTATGCATTTGAATTGCACACATATATACATATAATGCATATTAATCAAAATTTTTAATTTACCCATCCTTAGCTTCGGCGGCATTGCAGCAAGCCATATGCACCCTATATTTGTGTAGGCAAAAGCACGAAGCTCGCGCGTCCGTGTGTTTGTGTGTATAATAATTAACATTTATACCCGGGCCGCGAGAAAATGGGAAAATATCGTATGATTAACTCAGTGTTTGGGTAGTTTTTTATGTTTCGTTATCCTTCGTTCATTTATGCATGCAATAATAAATTATTACAACGCCTTTATACTGTAATACGATGGTGTAGGTATACACACAGCGCATAATATATATATACATATTATATATACTTTCTTCAGCGATTGCTAAAATTAAAAAATAATAAAATGTAGCCAAACAAAAATATCCACAAATATTCAATCACTTTCATATGTATTGGATATAAAAATACATATTAGTCATATATCATCTACATGGCTAGGTAATATAATTTTAGTTTTATACCAAGTGATCTATGCGATATTTGTATTCATTATATTATATATTCTCCATCCATGAGACACTTTATTTTAAAAATTTTGGTGTTTGAAAAGATTACTTAAGCATAATTTGAAGTCAATAAAATAGAAAATTTATACAAAAAATTATATTTCTTACGAATTTTATGATTAACATTTTTTTTTAATGATAACATACATTTATCAATTTCTTATTCCAAAAAAAACTATTTTTTTTAGTACTTTTATGTATAAAAATCGGATTTCAGACAAGTAGTTTAAAAGTTAAGTACTTATGTATTTAAAATTTTAATAAGCAAAGTGATGTAAATATGTAATAGTACAGGAGTAACCGCAAAATGTTAGTCCACTATGGCTTGTCTAAACTTCAAATATTTATAAGATTAATAAACTACTTGTTTAAAATTTGAATTTTATAGATCAAAACACTCCGAACAATTTTCGACTTCGGAATATGAAATTTAAATTTAAATCTATTTTGTATGTATAGTCATTCAAAGAGTAAAAACTTAAAAAACGTTGTTTTGTAACGWCTCGAAATGTAAGTAAAAGAAATATTTAAAAAAATATTAGTGCATATTTTCTGAAATAATGAGTGTCTATGTATATATATACATAGTAAGTACTTACTTGGGTTAAAGCCAAACGGTCACTTTGTACGGTCCATTGTTTAAACTGCATAACGTGGACACTTTGTACGGTAAGGTAAAACTTTAGATTGCAGAACGCGGACAGTCTGTACTGTTATATACATAAAGTATATATTAAGTATATATTATTTAAATTATTTAAATGAAAAAATTAAATATAAAAAAGTCAATTTATTAAAAACTTCATAAAGTATAGTATTTACTATTAGTCAAAAAAATAAAATTAAAAATGTATGTGTATACTAAAGTAGCCTAGTAGATACTTACTGGTTCTATACGGGTTTTAGACATTTTTCCAATACACATAGTAATAGAACATTTCCAACGTATATCATCTAAATTTTTTCTTAATATTGTGTAGTCAAAACCATCTTTAAAAAGTTTTGGTCTTAATTTAGTAGACTTTGTTGTTGCCATCGTGACGGTGTGACAGTCGTCGTCTTAGTGAAATGCAGTTCAACGATAAACACAAACGATAATTTGATTAACTTCGAGCTTGGGAAATATATGTATACTTAGAATGTATAAGACACTTGGATTTACCAAATAATATTTAAACTTAATAACATTTTTAATAAAATTGTATATAAYATATACATATGTATATATTTATTAGTACAAAGTGTCCGCGTTCTGTAATCTAAAATTTTACCTGACTGTACGAAGGTTAGGTACTGTACAAAGTGTCCGCGTTTCGCACTTTTAATGCTCAACCGTACAAAATGTCCTAGAACCACTTACTTGCTATTTTATATTAACTCAGCTGTGGCGTACTCAATGTGTCGGATATTTCAGCTCCCCTCTCCATTGAAATTTTGACGTCACAAATGGTTTTCGTACCATTTAAATGGTTTGATTAATATTATAGAATTAAATTGTTAAAAATAAGAAATAAATTTAATGAATTACGTCAGTAAAATCTTCAGCGATACACTTTATATAAATTCAAATCTGTGCAACAGTTGAATTTTTTCTATAACTTTGTTTTCTTTAGTTATGGCATAATATTGATCTTGGTTAGGTTTGGTTAATGACTAATAAATAATAACACACAAATTAATCGTTCAACAGTGTTGATAGTTTTATATAAATCAGAACCATAAAAATGTATAATATAACATAAACAAAATAAAAATAAGCCAAGTAAATATTTTATTTTTATTAAAAGAGGAGACACAATTATTATGTAGCTAGGTAGTTTCGTTTCTCCATCACGAATTCGATATTGGTATTTTTTATTTTTTTTCCTTCAGATATTGGTCACCGATTATTATAACTAAAATTGCAATTTATAAACGGTATTAATTCCCTGCAGGCTGCAGTAACTTGTATTATCAAAAATCAGTGTTGTAATAGATGGTTTTAACAATCATTAATTAAGTAAGTAAGTATATATTATATATATTAATATGTACATTCATATGTTATGCCCAATATTTTAACGAAAAACGATTGAATTTTTTATACTACTCAAATATTACCAACTACATATACAAGTTGGCATTTATTTACATCCATTTGCYAACTTTTTGCAAACGCAAACATGGTCCGTCACTGATTAACGAGCATCTATTGTTGTAGGCATGTCATGGGAAATTGGGAAAGCGTCCGGGACTATACGTTTACCTCCTCGTTTGTGATCAAACAATCATAAATCATAAATATTTATAATGTATGGTAATTTATGTGCCTACCTAGGTACACTCATTAATCATAACACATTAGCTAGGTTAGTAGCAAAATATGGTCTAATGGTTGACATGCATAGATGGTCAAGCCTGCTTAAAACGTTCCACTCATCGACGCGTGAAAAACTAAATTGAAAGCCACTTTAATAAATTAGGTATGTTAAATGTAATTTTAACGAAGTTTTCGTTTCAATTATATATACTTATTTTGACTTTTAGCGAGAAAATCAAATTCACACGAYCGGTATTATTAATAATTTAATATAACATGCAACACGTTTTTATATTTTATGCATATAAGACGTCATTACATATCAAGATTTTCAAGGAAGAAATTAATAAACTATATATAGAAACGATATACACATATCAATACGTATCGATTTAATTTTTAGTGTTCCCGAAGTTACACGTTCAATATACAAGCGATACGTACCGACCTGTATCGGGCTTTGACTATTGTAGTCGATACATATCGAATTCTTCTTCTTGAAAATCTTTTTATACATTATAAATGTCTTTATTTAGTTTATTTACTATATAATGAAAGAGAAAAAATAATTATAGTGGAATAAATATTATTTTTTTGACGATTGCCAAAAAATCTACAATGTTCTCATTCGGRTGCCAACTGTAAAGACAGAAGCAGTCCTGTCGACAGTCGTCGACTTTTTCATTACGTTTTCTTCATCGCAAACGTCCAGATGGTTCTAAATTTAAGCGTGAATAGAATTGTTGACACGCACTCACCAGTCACCACCGCCGACGTGTGATGTGTCATTCAATACACGAATATCATATTTTACATAAATAATTAAAATATATTGGACAATATTATTATTGTTAAAATACTAAAATAGTTTAATGCATTATAAATCAATATATGTAATGTGGTGTGAGTGTGACTCAATAATATTTAAAAAAATAAATCGTATAGTATAATGTTAGCTGCTACAGCTTATCCTGAATGGCGTTGCCCATAATAAATTAAACAACTCCMGTGAATTTATATTGTCTTAAACTCGGTTAAATGTAAGCTATACATATTTTTAACTCAATAATTTAGAGTAGTTTAAAATTATATCTAATTAAAATAACTAATTTTCTTTTGTAGCCGATGGTAACCCTAAACAATCAAAATATATTTGTTTTTTGTGAGTCAATAAATCTCTGTKAAAACTCTTCTAAAAATACGAATTCTGTAAAATAAGCTCATCCTCGGGTATAGGATTACCTAGATACCAAATTTCATAACCATGAAATGCGACAAGCTTGGCTGTGGCCTGTGGATACAGCCACACACTARCATTGCCTTTTATTAATATGATTATATTATACGATCGGATTATAAACAGACATTAATTATCATAGATTATTTTGTTGTATATACGTATATTAGTTATGACTRTAGATAATATTTCAATTTTCAACGACGAAAATGGAAAATCAACAGTTATTGTTTTTCTTTGAGTAGGTACCAAATATAGATATCATATATGGAGCATATATCAATTGCGCCGAAATTGCCTTTTTATCTTTAAAAAATCTATTGTTTGCACCCCGTATCGACTCCGTCAAACTTTTTTAAATATTGATTAATCAATATGCTGGAATTCCAGCATTGATTCCGCTGGGCGCTGACTATCAATCCGCTGAATATTTGTAAAATACAATAGTCACTCGTAACAAAATAAGTTAAAGTAGAATATATGAAATAAATGACCAAATATGACCAATATAGATTTTCTCGTACAAAACTGGCATTAAACCACTATTTTTTTTACCATATACCTATATATTTTATTTATATTACTATTTACGACAATCATTGATAATCATTTAAATTAGGTACATGAAATTAACTGTTTTCTTATTATTTTGAATATTATGTTACATCAGTCTATTTAAAAATATGAGGTATTTGAGTTATATTATTTTAATGAATATTGCCCTTTTTAGACAAAAATGTTTGAATTGTTTTTTAAAATGTTTTTATCGGTTACTGTTTAATACACAGTCGAATCAATATAAAAAAATATTTCCGGCGGAATCAACATAAATAATATCATTTAGCGGAATTGATATTAAAAACGGCGGAGTCGATAAACTTCCATAATATGTACCTACATATTATATTTTAATTATAAAGCACACATTAAGCATTTCAGGGCACAGAATTTTAATAGGTATAGGTATAATAAATGTATAGTAGACTTGAATCTTACATTAATCGTCTTTTGTTTTATTATGCATACTCTTTTATTT